AGGTTGGAAATGAAATGGTAATCTTTATAACATCAACAAAATACAATACTCGCCAGCGGCGTGAAGTAGGTAAACCACTGCTAGTGGTGGACTACGTAGACAGCATATTACCCCCACTTACAATAGTGTTCAATGTATTTATGAGGATTGAGACATACACATTAGTGTTCATAGGTCGCTATATAACACGTTACTAAGGAGAAAAGGCAATGAAAGAACATCATTCAAGGAGACATAAAATAACTACTGATGTTGCATTTAAACTTTTGTAGATTGTATTTGATAGGAAAGTAAGAAAGTGGAAGAGAGTTCCGCAGGCGAGAAGTGTGAGAGAAGAAACAATTAGAATAAAACTTAGAGTTACACTTAGCAATTTCAGCAGTAATAGCTTGAGACCTAACTGCCAATCTAGTACTGGGCTTAAATTCATGAAGTCGAGTTACTGAAGAATAATTGCTATGGAATTATTTACAGAAAAATAACAAAGAAGTAATGGCGGTGGTTAAGTTATTGAAATGCATGGCCGGATTGATAATGTTGCAGAATATTACTTTTTGCAATATTGGTGCCGTCAGGTAGCAGAGACTTTGTTATGCTAACGAATGGCCGTCATTTTGTAACTACAGTGTACTTATAACATATCAAAAACTCAAGTACTGACCTCAATTTTTTTTCAGAAAAGGTAAACTTACACACACACACACACACACACACACACACATATATATATATATATATATATATATATCCGCGTATAGGGCGTCTTTAAATCACCCTTAAAATTTGGGGGTCGTCTTATATTAGGATTCTTGTTGAAACTTGAATAAAGCATGGAATAATAATAATACAACACAAAATGTACTTAAACAAAATGTATTGACACAAGAACGTGTACACAATATTTACAGATAGTTTGGTATATTCTTGGGAAGACCGTTCCTGTAGAATGGGTTGACTTAGAGTCTCTGGATTGGATCTCCTCTTCCTCCCCCGTCTTCCCGGTACCAACCCATATTTATATGGTCGGTACTCCACTATGTAAATTAGGTGGATCGTACCACAACAATTCTAAAAAAGAAACCTTAAATTCTTAGTGATGTTTGTTGTCAGTAGGCTAACCTTGGCTTCGGTGTAATAACGAATAACGCACGTGAAAAGATTCACTTATCAAATAAAGTGATAATAAAAGTAATAAAGCCATTTCCACCTGATATATTACTGGCATAACTTCATAATAAATTGCCTATTCAAAGAATAATTCCATTTCAATGAAATCAACTTGTATCTATGCAAACTCAGCTGAGAAAATGTAAACTTCGAGCTATGATTACGAATAAAAAAAAAATTGGAATGTACTGTTATTAGCGGTATTTTGTGATTGTCGATGAAGTATAAGTAAATGGCCATTAGTGCACCAGGCTGTTTGTAACTGTTTCGATACTGAAAAAGAAGAAGAATCAGTATTCTCAAGAAATCACGTGATGAAACGTAAATAAAACAATGGTTCTCCTTTTCGGAGATGTGTGCAGAAAAAGCGTAATATAGAATGGGTTTTGTTATTTCGTTTATTTTGAACTTCTAAGGATACAGTAAATAGCAACATTTCCAATAACATCATCTTTATACAATCAGTAAGCAGTTGTCTATAGGTATAGGATAAATTCATAAAAATTTGCTATAATTTTTTTTTTTTTACCTCAGTTTATCTAAAGGTCGCCTTATACACGCAAATATACGGTATGTTATTATTATTATAATAGCTGTATTTAAAGAAAATAAGTGATTGAGGAGACATCCCTGATTTATTTAGTTTCTTTTTTTTTAGTATTGAAATTAATATCTACCGAGAGAGTTATCAAAATTCTTATTAAAGAAATTTAAATTGTATTCCCTTTTTAACCACCCAGGTGTGCTTTACCATAAAGCTACGAGAAAATATTACAGTAAAGCAAAACTAAAAAACCCTATTTAAAATGTTCATTTCTCATTGGGACATTTCTGTCACCGCTCAGTGTCCATATATATATATATATATATATATATATATATATATATAATAAAAAGGCTTAAACACTTGGTGAAACATTCCTGTCAGACGCTTCCAGATGTCTTTACTCTGTCCTGGACATTGAGTTCTACCTGGATTCTATCCTCTTGGAATTTTTTATTCAAAAAATATATATGTATGTGTATGCATGTATGTATATATATTTATATATTTTGCATATGTATGTGTATATTTACCACTAATATTATATATATATATATATATATATATATATATATATATATAGTGTGTGTGTGTGTGTGTGTGAGAGAGATAGAGAGAGAGAGAGACTGACTTACTGTTATCAAGGGATTATCTATGTAAAGTATGTGTCATTTTTTTTTTCAAAATTGCTCAGTGGAAAAATGTCAGGATGCCATTTCTGACCTTAGGTCTCTGGTTGGGACCCTGGAAAGAAATGAGTATACAGTATGTTCTGATCGTTCGAATTTGCAATGTATTTCCATTTTAAGTGATGCTTGCGCTGTACAAGAGCCACTCGAGGTAGAGGGTTGATATGTTAATGAAATTTCATATTAGGATGATTTCTAATTAATTTATATCGTAAAATAATTACGAATTAATTTCTGTGTATGTTTTATTTTTATGTATCAATATGTGAACAATTGAATAATATAAACAATGAATGTGTAAGCAATTGAATAATGTAAACAATGAATGTATAAACAATTGAATATGTAAACAATCAATGTGTAAACAATTGAATGAACGAATGAAAGGTATAACATATTTGTTTAGTATATCATACACGTGTGTAAGGTGTTACATATAAGGTAGGCATTGAAATAATAATTTAAAAAGTAATCTTCCTTTATAGCAAAACGGTTTAAAATGAATGTTATGATTAAAATATGTACGTTTTCTGTTGCAAAATAATCTACAGTTGTTTACATATTAATTGTTTACATATTCAATTGTTTACATATTGACGCATAAAAATATTATATTACAATAACCAGCAATGATTTAATACATTAAAATTATTTTAAACGTGTTTTTATAGTAAAAAATCATTCACAATGCATAACTAAAGTAAAATAATTTTTAATGAATTTTTGTAGTGAAATGATCTCCAATGAATTATTATAGTAGAAATGCTTTGCAATTAATTACTGTAGTGAAATGATTTACAATGCATTACTGAAGTAAATGATTTGCAATGCATTTCTGTATTAAAATGATTGCCGATGCATTTCTGTATTAAAATGATTGCCAATGCATTTCTGTATTAAATGATTTGCAATGCATTTCTGTATTAAAATGATTGCCAATGCATTTCTGTATTAAAATGATTTGCAATGCATTTCTGTATTAAAATGATTGTCAGTGCATTTGTGGTTTTAAAATGATTTTTATTGCAAGATGATTTCCAATATCTTCGTCGTCAGCTTTATCTCGTATCCAAGAATTTAATTTCTTCTTTTCTGATCGCTTCATTTATGATGCTAGCGTTGATAACTAAGCAGACCAATTCTTGCATGGAAGAGCCAATGCGATTCCCTGCATAGTAATGTTGGTGGAAGACGACGTTGATTTTGTCGAGCCTTTTTCTTTTGTCGTGTTTGACGTTTTCCTTTTTTCTTCTGGTAGCTTCAAAGTTGTTTTGTCCTGATGTTGATGGTACACCGCCACTTGGTACGGTTTTGTTTATGTGTTTAAAATGATTTATGATCAAATCCAGTGGTTTTCAGTGTTGTCTTGAGATGGTCCTTGTTTCTTCGAAGAGGGCAACCCTTATGGCCTTTTCCCTAAAATGAGATCATTGAATAAGACTTGACATAGAATCTCCCATTCTTGCTACATGTCCTGACCATCGAAGACGGTGTTTAATAATGATCAGCGATTCAATGCTTTGACTGTTGGACCTTCCCACGACTTTGGTGTTGGTCACATAATAATTCCATTTGATGTCCAAGATTGAACGAAGACTTTGATGGTGAAGGCATTCTAATTGTTGGATATCGTGACGATATAGAGTACAGATTTCGCAGTTATATAACAAACTTGAAATAACAACAGTATTATAGGCCATAATTTTTGTTGTTATGTTCAGATCTTTGTTGATGAAGAGACGTTTGATTAGATTTCCAAATGCCCATATGTGGCTACAATTCTGTGCTCCACATTCTTTTCTGGGCGGCACTATTTTGACAAAAGGCTGCCTAGATATGGAAAATGCTCTACTTGTTCTAGAGGTCTATCAGAGATGGTAATATCAAACTCTGGTATCGAAACCCCGAGGTGCTGTAATGGCTAGCAAGCTTGTTTTGCTAGAAAAATTACGAGTGAGTTCGATCCTCACTGGATGCCCCATACTTTCGGCTTTGTGCCACATCTAAGCTACGCTTGGCAAATTTTGAGGCACCTCGAGGCGGTCTAATGGTTAGCAAGCTTGTCTCGCTAGAACAATTACAACTGAGTCGTGAGTTCGATCCTCACCAGGTGTCCCATACTTTCGGCCTTGTGCCACATCTAAGCTACGCTTGGAAAATCACTTTCAAAGTCTGGTATTTGAGGCTGGCTGTGCAGGGACCTTGGTTTTCTTGATGATTACTATAAGATGTTTATTGTAAAATTACTTCCAATGCATTTATATAATAAAGTTATTTCCAATGCATTACTGTAGTAAAATGACTTGCAATGTATTTGTGTAGTAAAAAGATTTTTGTAATACAGAACGGTGCAGTTATCCTAATCTTATAGTGTTTGCTGTCTCTCCCTATATGCAATAAAGTGAATGAATTTGCTTACTTATTCGTTAAATACACTCTACATGTAATCATATAGCTTATATTTTTTTTATTGTAAAGACATTTATCATTTTCCTTTTTTTTCAGAAAATTTGCCCAGGGTTTTCGATCCTTGCGACGAGGATATTGGCTGCCGTGCGAACGCCTTCTGCGCTCGGCGAGGCTGTGATGGATTGATCTGTATGTGTAATATTGGTTACCAACCATCTTCAGATTCTACAGAATGTCTCAAAGGTTAAGTTCAAACAAATAAATTAAAAATAAATAATGTCTTCTTATTTTGCACAAAAATATGGCGCTGGGAAATTTTTTTTCTATTCATTGAAAAGAAAGAAAAATCAATGAAATTTTCCAGAAATTAAAATATACTTGTCTAGCTTTTTAATCCATTGACTGTGTCATTAATTGCATCATTTTAACCCATTAACTGTATCATTTTAACCCATTAACTGCAACATTTTTAACCCATTAACTGTGTCATTAACTGCATCATTTTAACCAATTAACTGCGTCATTAACTTATTATTTAACCTATTAACTGTGTCATTAACTGCGTAATTAACTCCTTCATTTTTTTATTAACAGCGCCATTTTAACCAATGAACCGCGTCTTTAAGCGCATTATTTTAAACTCCTTAACTGCGTCATTTTTTAAATATTAACTGCGTTATTTAATTGCTTCATTTTTACCCATTAAGTGCGGTATTTTTAACCCATTAACTTTACTTCTCACCAATGGAATACGGAGGAAATCTCGGTGATTTACTACAATGTAAGTGTCATGGTGTGCCCTTGCCGTGAATTGGCGGGACCAAGGAATGTAGTTCGTTCGCGCACTTTCCGTGGAAGCAGCGATAGGGCGGCGAGAGGCTTGTCACATCCCGCCTGTGGGAGAGAGGTTGGAGGGTGAACATTAATTCGTCACCCAAAAGTGCTTGGAGACGCTTTTGGTCTCTGTCAAGTCACATCGTGTCAAAGGCGTTTGAGATATGCTATGGTTATCGGAGCCTGCTTGTCGTCAAGAGCCTCACTATTTCTGTGAGTGATGGTAGTTAGGATGCCAGCAGTGAATCTGGCCGATTGAAACCCGTACTGAAAAGAATGTGCTCGACTATTTTCTTGATTATATGCTCAAAGAGCTTGCTGAAAATAATGAGTAGACTGGGGAGGGGGATCGAACACCAGCGATCTGAGTATATTCTTAGGCTTGTCATTTATGTAATTTATATGAATAGGAATTAGTTTTGAACCTGGGTTTCACGCTTTATATATATATATATATATATATATATATATATATATATATATATATATTGATGCATGTTTCATTAAATAATATTGACAAGTTTTGTCTATTTATTTTAAGTAAGTTCCTTTCATATTGTCTGACTGATAGGCTTAATAACATTATCATTGAAGGACGAAAGGAAATCACCATATTGATATATATGTTTAAATCCAATCTAAGCTTCCGGCTTACATAAGCCATTATCAAAGATGACAATTACTTTTCAATATATCAACCAATACGTGGATGAAACAATAACGATAGTCTGTTTTTGTTGCATGAAAAATTTCAAAGCAACGACTAACTAGTATATCAATATGGTGATTTCCGTTCGTCCTTCAGTGATAATGTTATTAAGCTTATCAGACAATATGAAAGGAACTTACTTAAAATAAATAGACAAAACTTGTCTATATTATTTAATGAAACATGCATCAATGAATAATTTCTGCCTATATATATATATATATATATATATATATATATATATATATATATATTATGTTAGATGTATAGATATAAGTTTGTGACTCTAGGTTCATGCTTTTGCGATCATCAGACAAACTGTTTTTTTTAAATAAACCAGTTTATCTGATGATTGCAAAAACGAAACCCAGGGTCAAAAACTCATATCCATACAACTGAAGATCTTAGCTCTCTCACTGATATTGAGCACTTCCTAATAAATACTTCGCATATAAAATAATACATAAAGAAAAAAAATATTTATATATATATATATATATATATATATATATATATATGTGTGTGTGTGTGTGTGTGTGTGTGTATGTGGGGCGCCTGCGTTGACCGCTAGGGCTCCGGAGGACTGCCATTAATAATTACCTTTAGGGACCTACTTGTTAGGAAGGATTTTATTTAAGATACTTCCAGTGAAAGTGCAATGAGATAAGCATTAAGAAAAACAAACAAAAAAAAAACATACAGATGCATGCTGGGATTTCTTCCTAGTCAATGAGATAGGACCACTTCTCAGTGTCATCCGCCATGTTTTTCTTTGTTGTCTTGATCTCAGAACGTTAACACCATTCTTATTTTGTGAACCTTTTGTTTAGTTTGTATTATTTTGCCCTGTTCTTTTTTTTCTTTTTGCTTATTGGAAATTTTGTCAATTCCATTTGTTGATCAATTTTGCCAATTACAATTAAACAGGATCAATTACTCTACATATTTCCATTTTGTACATTCTTGCTCAATGTGTATGTATTTTTTTTTTTTTTTTGCAGTTGTCGAACTTTATCGCTCCTGCGCTGATAAGAATAATACTCGATGTCGGGGCCCATTAGCCTATTGCGATTCGATTTCCAAAACCTGCCATTGTAAAGACGGCTACATCCCGGCCAGAGACAATATTAGGTGCAAAAAAGCGCCCAAGTATAATTTGTCCTACGCCATGTTAGGCGAAGATTGTGACATTGATGTGATTTGCCAGGACGGTAATCAACAGGTGTGCAGTTTGGACACTTCGAAATGCACCTGTCGAGAAGGGCTGAAGCCGGCATCAACTATTGATTTAAATGCCGAACCTTTTGTCTTTGATGAATGCCGACCGGCTGATTTTAATCTAGGTAAGTTATTATTTAGATAAAATTAATTTAACTTGATTTGTAACTATTTACTAAGTTTCGTCTACTCGGAGTTTAAAGATTGCCAATCTATCTAGAAGGAAGAGTTGGCCTGCTTTGAAAATCAGGATTTGAAATATTGGCTTATTGACTAGGATTGAACGCGAACCAGTTGTACCAATAGGGAATATACTCTCTCTCACTTTCTGTCTACCTTAATGAGTCTTTTTATTTAAATCTATCTATTATTGAAAATATTATATAGATAAATGAATTGCCTCCCTTTGTAGGGGTCGTAATCACCGGCCCCTGGGATGGGCTGAAAGCAGCCAATCACAGCCTCTTTTTTTCCCGTGTCACCGACGAGTCAACACGGACAAATTTAGCTCCGTAAAACTCAACCAGCAGCCACATGGTGTCCGAAAATGGAGCGGCCAAGAATAAAACATAGGAACAAGGATGTCCCAACAGTTGCAGTAATGCATCCGAAATCTGAATGTCTCTTTGACCTGAAGACGAATATATTCCGATGTTGCAACAAAAATACGAAGAACTGTTAACCGAACGAACTTTACTGGCACCAGTTAAGTCCTCGCAAAAACCATTGTTTTTTTCCAACGATTTTTTAAAAACAATTTTTTTTTATCTTCCCTTTTTTTCTTCCTCTTTCTGATATTGTTGTGGCCTGTTTAGGGGCCAGAAAGAAAGACACGGAAGACGAAGGTAGGTTGAACAAGTGCATTGAAATGACAGATATATACAAAGCAAGAGTATTAGTAATAAGCAGATAGATGTGTACGTCCGAACGGTAGGTTAACACTGCGTCTCCGCTTCCCAAGCGACGGTATTTACCTGCCTCCCCACGAGGAAGGATGTGGCACAAGGCCGAGTTTAACGTGGGGCAATCCGAGCCCGTAGGATCGGCCAAAAATTCCCCGTAACCCCTTATAAACGGGTTCGGGTTGGTCAGTCTCCCCGAACGAGACTCTTCCTTCGGCATAGCCTCGTCTGGATTCCTCTCTGTCCGAAGGCAGAGAGTTCGACCGTTTCCCGTCGACCGCTTCCCAACCGACTGCGCTAGGAAGTCTCGCAGTTAGTATTTATGAGAGGAGGAAGAGTTCAATCTATTGTAGGAGGGTTTATCAGGACAGATATAAAGACTTTCTTTTTCCACTCAAGTTTTTGCAATCATCAGATAAACTGGTTTATTTAAAAAAAAACAGTTTCTCTGATGATCGCAAAAGCGTGAAACCCATGTCACAAACATATCCATACATCTCAATATATATATATATATATATATATATATATATATATATATATATATATATAATTATTTATTTAAAATATGATTCCAACACGCGACATAAGAGGTCTCATGTTTCAAAACAAGAGCCGAAAACTTCAATCTAATTATTTGAATTAAATTGAGTTAAAGTAAACTGGTTTATTTAAAAAAAAAATTCCTTGTTAGCGGAGTTAATGCTAATTCTATTTTCCATTGTCAATAGAAAATAGAATTAGCATTAACTCCGCTAACAAGGAAATATTCCAACTACACAATGGCTTCTATAACACTGCCCTAAAAAATAGTGGTTATAAAAATGCTAACATTAACTATAGAGACGATTGCACTGGCCATAAGAAAAAAAAACAGGAAAAAAAAATTATATGGTATACCCCTCCGTTCAACCAAATAGTTAGTATTAAACTAGGACAGAAATTCTTAGCTCTAATTGATAAACACTTCCCCTTAGTAATATATTTAATAAGAACACCCTAAAACTGAGTTACAACTGCTCTGAAAATCTTGAACGTATAATAAAAAAACACAATAATAAGATCCTGAACAAACCCCCATGCCTGAATAGTATTAATAAAAACCCCGCACTTAAATCAGACAATAAAAGGGAAAAATTGTGTAATTGTAGAAACCTAGAAGACTGCCCATTAGAAAATAAATGCTGCATTAAATCTGTGGTATACCAATGTACTATATCATCCACTGAGAGTCCTAGTACTAATATGATATACATTGGGTCCACGAAGAATGATCTTAAAGATAGATGGAGGCAGCATAAGTGCTCTTTTAATAATATAAATAAAAGAAATCAGACTTCCCTATCTAAATATTTTTGGCATCTGAAGGAAACAAATAGGACACCTAAAGTAAAATGGAAAATTATAAACAGGGCGAGAACATGTAAAACTTGGGATGACCCATGCCCTTTGTGCCTCCATGAGAAATTGCACATTATTAAGCTTCTAAACAATAATAATCTATTAAACAATAGACATGAGTTAACGGTTTTTTGTCGTCATCATCAGATTTATGGTTTGAATAATTAGCTAAAAACAAGCATACAATATAATAACTTGATCAACCCATAGCCCAATCATCAGATTCATGGTCTGAATAATTGGCTAAGAACAAGCATAAAATATAATAACTTTCATAATCCATATCCCAAATAAATAGCTTAAATACCCTACAAAAAAGATAACCCTTTATGAAGTCGTCAAAAAACAAACGTTACGGCAGTTTTTTATATGCACAAATCCCTTTCATCATAAAAAAATAAAATAAAAAAATAAATAAATCTCCACAGACACGCATACCAGACTAGGGTGAATACATCTTCCGTTTCAAATTTAGACATCCCCACCTTTCCCTGACTTGATATCTATGAAAGTAACTCTATACTGATACTTATTATTAACACCCATCACACGCCTACGCAATTTAAACAATTCGCCTTACCTGTTACCATGGAAATTTTGATTTCAATTATTAAAACACATAAATTTCAGAAATACGTTATTCCAAAAAAATTTCGCTTGAAGATAGAACAGAGCTTACTTTAACTCAATTTATTTGTACGAAATAAAAGGTTCAGTTTAAAATTCGCCTGAAGAAGGCCGAGCTTACAACGGATGAAACGTCGTTAATATGGCAACAAAGATGAGTACAACAGTCCGAACAATGTAAACAGTGTAAATAATTACAAAACCTCATATCTGAAATATAGACACCTAGTGATATAGTTATTAAACTAAAGCCGTATTAACTAATCATAAATAGAGGTGATCAATTCCTCAATATTTTAAAAAGAATTTTGCATTTTTTTAAATGTGTATAAACGTGTCGATTTTGTAAATATGGACGTACATACACGACATTCTCAAAAAATAAGAGAGGTCCCTATAAAAAAATTAAAATGTATAGGCAATTTTCTAACATTTCCCCCAAAAGTGTCTTCGTACGTAGGACTATAAAACCAAAGTATTGTAAGTTTACTGGGTATATATATATATATATATATATATATATATATATATATATATATATATATATATATATATATATATATATATATATATATATATAAAAGGCACAAACACTAATAATCCATGGTTATAAATTATTACATTGGAATCGTAATCACGATCCAATACCTACAAATTCAAAATATTCTTACTCTGTCCTGGATATCGAGTTCTACCTGGATTCTATCCTCTTGGGAATTTACACACACACACACACACACACACACACACACACACACACACACACACATATATATATATATATATATATATATATATATACATTGACCACTAATATCTATCTATCAATCTCTCTCTCTATATATATATGTATGCAAAAAGTGTTAACATTGTTAGCATCTAGTAATTTTTTCAGTTTTGTCACCCTTACTTAAATATCAGGATGTTAATTAATCACTCACAACGTCAGAAAAAATCCCAGAGTGTTAAAAAAGTGCTTTTTCTGCAATATTTTAAACTAAAAGTAATATATGTTTCAATTCAAATTAATGAGACTTTGAACCAGCTCATACTCCTAAAATAATGTTTCAGAAAAGTAGAATTTATTTCAGAAAATAATTTTTGTTAACCACCGAATAGTAATCCGTATAGTGATCAGTTAAGAGAATAGCATAGAGAAGAGACAGGCTATCCGTAGAGTAATGGAGGATAGCGTAGAAATAATGAGACATTCACTAACCGCTCCAGGCGGTCGGATGCGGCACAAGGACAAGTTTATTGTGGAGTAGCCAAGCCCGTAGGCTCGGTCCAAAATTCCCCGTAGACCCCGTAAAAAAAGGGGTCAGGTGTCGCGCGAGACGAAACTCTTCCCTCCGGCATAGTCTCGTCTGGGGATCCTGCTGGTCAAAGTCTGTACCCAGAGGCAGAGACGTTGACTAGTTTAGTCGGGTATCTGAGCCCGTAGGCTTGGGCAAAAATTCCCCGAAGACCACGTAAAAAACGGGGCCGAGTAGCTGTCTACCACCCCAGACGAGACTCTGCCCTTCGTGATAGCCTCGTCTGGATTCCTCTCTGCCCGGAGGCAGAGAGTTTGAACAGCACACTCCGAAGTAATTCGGAGAAAGATCAATTAGACGCCACCCTAATTCCAATATATACATTTTCTTTACCACCACGTGATCTACTTATTTAATATGGGATCGCCCGTATTTGCTCATTGTTGATCTATGTTCAATCTACAGTGTCGGTAGCGACACTTTATTCTTATATAACAATGATTAAAAAGAACGCCTTTGTGGTTACTTCAGTTGAACCATATAATTTTCCAATAATAGCCCGTCATCATGAGGCGGATCAAATGTTCAAGGGTAGTCTGAAGTGTACTTTGCTTGACACTTCTTTTGAGAAGTGTTTTCTTCAATCAGAATTTTTGTTTGGGCTATGCTCTGTTGGTGTTGCTTGCTAGATCATTTCTTTAAGGTATTGGTAAACTTCAGTTGTCACGATAAATACAGTGTAGTTAAGAAAACTGTAATGTGTTGGATTTTCCAATGGATTACATGTAAACAGTTTAATGTGATATCAAAGTCAACCCTAACAGGTACTATACTCCGGATCAGAATAGACCTGGGAGTAATATCAATCAAGGGGTGACTCCACACAGCCCCAATTCACACGAGCGAGGCTTCGTCACCGGATTTAATTTAAAGTCTTAACCAGAACAGGATTGGGGTATGAACAGATGCTGTTTAAATTCTTACTAAGGACAGAATAGAAGTATTGATGGATTCAGTTTAAAATCTTACACAGGACAGGAGTGACGTATAAATGGATATAGTTTAAAGTCTTACCAGAACAGGACTGGTCAGCAGTGACTATTAAGTGGTTGTAGTTTAAAGTCTTACCCAGGATTATAACTTTAATCTTTTAATAGATATAACAGAAAATCTATAAATAGACAAATTCTTTATTAATCTTCTTGATATCTTGCTTAGATCTGATAGTCTGAGAGCCAGTGTTTTGCGACTATTTTTTTCCGTTTTGGGATTCTTTTTCGGATTATGTGTCAAGGAAAGTTCCATTGCAAATAGATGTTGTATGTTATGG